GACCCCTCAGCCAATCTGCAATCCATCTGACTGTGTAGGCATCGATGCCACAGTCGCCTAGTTTTTTAACTAGGATGGGGTGAGAGACGGTGTCAAAGGCCTTGCTGAAGTCCAGAAAGACTACATAAGTTCTTAGAGAGATGTTCCACTTCAGTTAGATTGAGATTACTTAGAAAATCATGAGTTTATGCAGAAATATTGAGATAACAATGTGGTAATTGTGAAGATTGCCCAGAATAAGTTAGTATAGCTTAAATATGATCCATAGAAAAATTAAGCTGATTTGGGTAATTGGTTTGTCATAGGATGATACCTGTCTGTCGTAAGTTTTCATTACACAGACTAATTAAGGAGAATTGCTATGTTCACTAGCCAGTGAAAAGGTACTTTACATTTCCTTTTTCAGAAGCTGGATAAGAAGCTCAGAGAGAACTTAAGAGATGCCAGAAACAGTCTTTTCACAGGGGATACACTTGGGGCTGGACAGTTCAGGTATTGTATTAATGAGTTTTGTTTTGTGTTTTTAATTGCAGTAATCCAAGTAGGCTTATAGAAATCAGGTTTTCATTGTGCTTAATCATTGGACAGACGAATGTAAAGATGTGGATCATATCCTGACTGGTTTGTTTTTATGAAGACTTAAAAATATCATTAAGGAAAATAAAAATTATTCTTATTTTCCTTTTAACAGTTGTTTAGGAGTAGGAGAATTTGCAGCCGTGCAATCCTGAACTAAAACTTCTCTACATAATTAAGTAAGCTGACCATATTTTTGTATCAGCTCCACACCCAGAAAGATCCAATACCCTGTGAAAGCTTCTGTCACATGAACTTCCACAACCAAAATGTGTTTCATGCTTTTTGCGTACAGAGATATTCACAACTTTACTTTTATCTAGTCAACACAAAATAAACTAGCTGTTTTATCAGCAGAGGATCCTGCCAGCCGTCATGGGATTTTGACAGTTCAGGTGAGCCTGTTACAAGGGATGGCATATGATGAGTCTTTCTTTAAGCTAACGTGGACCCACATTGTTTAGGGCTTTCAATATTGTCACCATTATCTTTAGATTATGTGAAAAAGAGACCATCTGTGAAGATCTCTGGGGTAATGGTAGTGCTTGCATCCCTGAAGCTACTCCTGGTAGACTCCAGGAGTAGCATTGAAGAGAGCATATTTAAATCATTCTAGCCTGTAGATAAGAAAGGTGGGAGAACCATCATAAGGATTACCAAAGAAAAATAGTTTTAAACTTGTGGCCAGGTGTAAAAGAGTAATAATGGGCTGCTTCTGTGTAGAAGCAGAATGCAAAGGTTAGTCATTGAATCATAGGATTCCACAACTGTTGTGCGCAGCTTGTTCCATTGTCCTACAGTTTGGGATTTTTTTGAAGATTTTATCTAAATCTGCTTCTCAGCAATTTAAAACCATTGCTTCATGTTTTGCCACCTGTAGCAAGGGAGGATAGTTGCTATACCTTCTCTTTCAAATATTTCAAAACTGGTCACATGCTTCTTCTTTTTTTAACTACATTGTATTGCTGACTCATGCTGAGTGTCTGACCAACCAAAACCTCCAGATCCTTCTGAGCACCACTGCTGCCTAGCCAAATATCTCCCATTCTCTGTTTGGGCACTTGGGGGCTTTTTGCCTCAGAGATATTATACTTTACACTTGTGTTTGAGTGTAATTTTATTGTTTATAACCCAGCTCTCCAGTCTAACAATAGCCTTTTAAAAGGAATCCACTTTTGTCCTCCAAAGTATTTTGTATCATGTACCCACTTGACCAGGAAACTTTGTAGTCTAGCATCCAATTCATTAATAAAACAACAACCCCACACACAGACACAGACATGCAAGCACAGACAAAGACACACACCCCAGCAGGTAAGTGTGTGTTGGGGGAAGGGTAGCGTAGGGCGGGGAAAAGGGAAGGGACTGGGGGGATGCAGATCGAGAAGGGGGGAGTGTCTCTGTGCCTGCTCCCAGGAGCAGGGGGAGGGGCAGCGGCAGCAGTGCCCCTCTGCAGGCTGTGCACGAGCGGCCGGACAGGGGAATTCGCACACGGTGGCCGCCACCGCACTGTGCTGCACTGCCCTCCTGCTGCTGGCTGCACAGCACCATGGGCAAGCTCCGTGGGCACAGCTCTGCAGGCAAGTGACAGCACAGGGTGGTGGTGATGGTGGCTGTGTGCCACCCAGCTGGGGGCGGGGGGCTTGCATGGAGCCGCTGCACCCCGTGCTGCTTGCCTACAGAGCTGTGCTCGTGGAGCCATGCAGCCAGCCGTGGGAAGGCAGCTCAGGACACGGCAGCCACCACTGTGTGCAACCCCCCTGTCCGCAGGCATGGGTTTCCCCTGTCTACAGGTTTCTCTACTAAAAGGGAGAATCCATGTTTTCTCTGATAAAAATGGTAACTCCATGGTTTTCTCCATTTTTCAGTTGGAAATGGAAAATACGGATCCCTGGTTATGTGGGACTCTATTAAAAGGCTTGCTAAAGTCTGTTAGTTCCACCTTATCCACATCCACAAAATTAATTACCTTGTCAAAGGAGGAAATCACGCTGATATCTCATGATTTGGTGTTAACAAGTCTGTTTGGTGTGAAACCCTTTCTCATCCAAGTGTTAACATACTGATTATTTTATAATTTTCTAGTCATTTCTTACATTGAGATGAGGTTTTGTCTATAATTCCCTAGGTCCTTCTTCATAAAGATGGATATCATATAAGCCAGCCTCCACTTCATCTCTCATCCCTGCTTTTATAAATATTGCTAGTGGCTCCAAAATCTATTCCTTTCAGCACCCTGGAACAAATTTTGGGAGGACCTGACAATTTAAATCCATTCAGATTTATCTAAATCTCTCTAACCCACCCTTTACTAATCATGATTAGCAGCCCTTCTCCTTTGTCACTTCTTTTTATTATGAAGACAGGCAAAATAATAATTGAGGAACTCTGCCTTAATAACTCATCATCATTATTGAGCAGCTGACCTGCAGTTTCCTTGGTCTCTTTTCTTTCTGACATATTTATAGAGTTTTTTTGTTGTCTTTAATGTCCTTTTCCTTTTGTGTTTTGCCTTTTCCTTCCTGATTTTTTGTCCTTTCAAGTTCTTACCAATGCCTTGGTGGCTCATCCTTCTTTCTCTTCACCTGTGCTTTTGATTTTGTGTAGCTGTGTCAGCCTTCTGCAGTAGTTCTTATCTTTATGTTGTGTAAGAATAGATTTTCTTGAGTGTCCAAAATGATATCCTTTAAAAACTGCTAACCCTCCTAGACCCTTCTTTCTTTTAGGGTCCCTTCCCTTTTCCCCACCCCACACTACCGTTCCCCCCACACACACTTACCCACTAGGGTGGGTGTCTTTGTGCCTGCATGTCTGTGTGTGGGGTTGTTGTTTTATTAACAAATTGGATGCTAGACTAGAAAGTTTCCTGGTTCCATGGAACCTCACCTACTTTTTCTATGAGTTAGATGGCATCTGTCCTTTTGAGTACAGTGTCTGTAAGAGTTGTTTTCTTCTAATGCCTTCCCTTTCTTTGAATCAGAAATGCTATCATAATAGAATCGTGTCCTCACATTTTTCCTATCATTTTCAGGTTTGCAATGAATTCTTCCTTATTGATCATAAAAAAGGTCCAAAATAGCCTTGTTGTCTACATATGTTAAAAACTTACTTGCTGTTTTATGTTTTTCATAGATTCATAGATGTTAGGGTCATAGTTTCATAGTTTCTAGGGTCGGAAGGGACCTGAGAAGATCATCTAGTCCGACCCCCT